CCTGCAAGGTCACACATAACATACATATACAAACCTACATACATACACATAACATACATATACAAACCTACATACATACACATACATACATATACAAACCTACATACATACACATACATACAAGCATATACATAGCATAAATACGTATAGGCATTCTTGCCACGGCATAGCGCGTGAAAACGGAAACAGTTTATCACCATGGGCGCCGTGTGCAGAAATGTGCAAGGTTTTTACTGCGGAGGCCAGTGCGAAAGCACCCTTTTTAATTTTAATTTAAAAAAAATTTAAATTAAGTAATTATGTAATAGTAAATTAGGTAATAATTAATAATTAAGTAAATTATATTTTTTTTTTTTCAGTGCAGATGGCGCCACGGTGGCTCACCTGGCTTCGTTGATGAAGTCGTTAGTCTCGGTGAAGTAATGTAGCAGCTCGGTTTCCTCCTCGTCATACACACGGATGTTCTTGTATTCAAAGCCGAGCCCGATGAAGAAGTTGTCAATCTCCTTCGTCACATTCAGGATGTGGCTGATGCTGCACGGAGGCGGAGAAAAAGCGTGGAACCGTGAGCATGTGATGTACGCGGTGAACAGACAGTGATTCACCCCCTTCACCCCCCCGCGCTGACTCCACGAGAGGTTTACGTGTTACAACGCTAACCCTGAACGTGAGTTCACAGCATTAACCGACATGCAACGTAAGTAATCACCATGAAGTGACAAGATCTCTGTAGGTTTACACGTTACAATGCATACCCTGAATAGGATTAAACATGTGAAACTGTGTTTAGTTCAGCGCTAACACAGAGCCATGAAGATTAGCACAAAACAATTTACTATGTACAAGATTTCAAAAGCCAAGAAAGCGATCAAGAAAGCCAAGAAATAGTTCAAGAAAGCGCTGCAATCGCTTCACCCCAACAGCGCCTATGTGATAACCCCGGTGTCTACACAGGAGACAAGGCTTCAGACCCTCACGTTCGAAACACGACTGCCGTCCAACTATCCAGATAGCAACGCTCACTTGTTGTCCTTGAGTTCGTCGTAGTTGGATGCGTTCCACTCCGATCCCAGGTAGAGGTAGTTGAGGATTTCCGTTGCTGAGTCCATCTGTCCGAGGACTGTAATCATCTCCTCGTCGATGTAGCCCTTGTACTCGGTGAGCCCTCCCTCGCCGCAGCCAACAACCTTCTCCAGCTCACAGCGCAGCTAAAACATATCATAATATATAGCAATACAACACGTAACATAAGCAAGTGTAAGTAAGCAGCTGAAATATATAATATTAGAGCACTCGGAGAGCACAGACCTCCGCCAAGGCAGCTAAATTCTCTCAATGTGAAATTTTTTATTAATTAATTAATTATTTAAATGGAAAAATTAATTAATTAATTAATTAAATGATTAGTTGGATCCGGATCACCACCAAATGTAATCAAATTCTAAGTTTACCCCATTCTTCTGGCACATCCTGAAGATTTTATTAATAATGTATATTCAGTTTAATTAATTAATTGGATCGCGGATCACCACGAAAATGTAATCATTCTAAGTTTACCCATTTCATGACCTATCCGAGAATTTTTATAATTAATTAATTTAATTAAAGAATTAATTGGATCCGGATCACCACCAAAATCTCATCAATTCTAAGTTTAGCCAGCATGTTCGACTTATCCTGAAAATTTTATGACAATCCGTCCATAACATTGTTCAGTTCGGCTTAACTGTATGATCAGGCGGTTCCGGTGAGGCGGCGCTGCGTGGCAGGCCAATCACCATCAGCGAGCGGTACACATAACGCCACAAACCCACAAAACAAACATCAGAGCACACGCAGGTGAAAACCATAAGCCTGCCAGCCAAGCCCTGGCGAGGTACAATATAATAGCACTGATCAACACTCGTGTACGTACAGCAGGAACTTCGCCAAAATGCTCGACTGCAGTAAACGATGTCGGGGCCGAAAGCTGGTGTGATTCGCACCGGGGTTAGCCGAGCGCTTACCGTGGCATCACTGCCTCTGCATGGCTACTCTCACGATCTGATTACAAGTCGAAAATAATGGGATTGCTGGAGAATAGACAAAAGAACCAGACAGAGAGGATGCATGATGGTATGCAAGGGAAATTTCACGCCTTTTCGACGAAATATAGAAAAATGTCATCAGCGTAAATGTCGATGACGTACGTATTTGCTGGTGACCTCCTCAAGGTCAACACTCATCATGATCTCCTTCAGCTTCGATCGGATCATGGATTCCATCTCCTCGCGCTCCGTCCGCCTGTCAACGACAACACAATGCCGATCAAACCATTGTTCGCGAAAGGTTCATCAACCATTGTTCGCAAAGGTTCATCACCATTATTCGCAAAGGTTCATCAAGCAAGTGAGAACGGTGTCCCAAACCATGTGTGTACGCGTGTGTGTATACATGTACATGTATGTTCTCTATTCATATTATTATATTGTATATTCTATTATAATATCATTTTTATATTGTATATTCTATTTCATTTATATCATTTTTATAATTGTATATTCTATTTCATCTACATAATGTTTATATTGTACACTTAGCCGAAGATTTCTCCAACTGAATGCATCGCGCCCCACCATCGCGCGCACAGAAGGCACTGCGCATGCTTACATCTCGCGCGCTTGGCTCGGACTGACGGGGGTCGTTGGCGTCGACGTGATCTCATCGAGGGCGTACAACTCGTTGAGTGGTGGGCCGGTCGATGCCCGACAGCGACTCCTCATAGTGAGCTCGTCCTACGCATGCGACGCGCGCCCGGGGCGAAAGTAGTTGTGGCATGGCGTGGCGAGGTCACACCGCACGTGCACGGTCTTGAAGGCTGACCTGGCCCGGGAGGGACATGACTACTGATTCATGAGACATGCTACATGAGACAGATAGCATGATACCTGAGACATCGATACATGTCACATATATAAACATGTCAATATACACTGTCAGCATGAGACATGATACATGAGACATGATACAGCGAGACATGATACACAGAGACAGATACATGAGACATGATACATGTTCACAGATGATACATGTCACAGAGACATGTCGCATGATACATGTCACATGAGAAATGATAGCCAGTCACATGAGACATG